AAAAAAAAATCTCATGTTACGCGAGATTGGTTTAATTCAAGAAAGGCTGAGATGACAGGGAGAAAGAAAAAAAAAACACAACCCAGAGCAAAGTATTTTGGATGGTTGTCATCATAGACCTACTGTTTTTGCAACATCCTCTGGTTTCTGAGAAGGAAATGAGTCACTGATATGAAGTTTAGCCCCGAGTCCTGGAACTCGGTGATAGTCCTGGTCGTCATTTTCAAAACAGCGTTCAGCAGTTTTCACAAAGGAACGTCCGACAACTGACCACTTGGACATGAACAACGACGATGTCTTTCTCTACACCTCAGGCTCCGTCGGCTCCATAAATAGCAAAAAACAAAACAAAACACGAGTCTACATTTACTCACTAAGCGTGGTTACACAACGTAGCATGTCTCACCACGTTACAATTCCAGCTCAAAGTTGAGTTTAGAGCTGAATAAAGGAGTGTTTTCAGTGGGATCCTGAAGCCTCACACACAGGGTGTGTTTGTGTGTGTTTGTGTGTGCGTGCGGTGATAAAACAGATCAACTGCTGCAGAATCATACAGAGAAGAAGGGGCAAGAACCCACTCAGTCCTGACACCAGCATGTCGTTGTCTCTGCCATGACAGAGTCAAACAAAGCGTCACCTAAAGCGCCGGCTTCCAGGAGAACGGAATTTAATCTCATCTCCTGTAAAATGTGGTACTTTTCCACTCTTTCGGCAGAAGAGGCGATGCCTTTATTGCGGCTGCGGAATTCCGTGCACGGTAACGGCAGGCATCACATTTAGAGCGTCAATCGAGGAAGTCGTCGCAAGGATGTTTGGTTTTTTTTCGGACTCACGTTGTGCTGCGATTCCCACACCTGATTCCCAAATCTTGGCGTCCTTAACTGAAATAGCCACAATAACAGGACAGAAACGGAAATACCGTATTTTCCGTCATTATACGTCATTTCGGAGCTAAAAAAGTCACTCCGGAGGATAGGTCAGTGTGAAAATGACAAACATGTACATTTTCAGTGGTACAGGAGTAGCAGATACGGGTACACAAGCCTAGAGTGCCCTCTAGTGGCTGTCAGTGTAAAAATTATAAACATGTACATTTTCAGTGGTACAGGAGTAGCAGATACTGGTACACAAGCCTAGAGTGCCCTCTAGTGGCTGTCAGTGTGACTATAACAAATGTGTACATTTTTAGTAGTATAGGAGTAGCAGATACTGGTACACACGCCTAGAGTGCCCTCTA